ATATATTGGTGACTATACAGTCTACTTATGCAACTGAAGTGTAGGGGCAATATTTGAAAGGTCTTCCGACTTTCGTCTTCAGGTCAGTTCGTGCAAGCTACTGAAGGCCTTACATGGTATCCAGGTTGAATGAGATGGAAGTGACTTTGATTGGTTGTTTGTTCCTGGTCCAATCAAAACTCTGATTATAATCCATACATATTGACTCCACTTTTATATCCCTTATATAAAGAGCAATCCCACCCCATCTTTGAAAAAAACTAAGGTGATTAAATAACTTATAATCTGGAATTTCACGAAAATTCCCATTATTAAAATTCTCAGAATTTAACCAAATTTCAGTAATTTCCATTTCAACTTCAGCCTTCAACTCATTCATTTTGTTTCTAATACTCCTAACATTAGAATATTTACAATTAAATTTATTCTTGAATCTACTATGTTCATCTCTAAATCTGACAGACTTGTTTTTAAAATTATTATTTAACATATTAGGCTCTAAATATCTTTGTTGTCCTAGCTATCCTATCAATCTGTTTATTCCTAGTTTTCTGAGCTCCCTTACCAGTATGAATCAAGATAAATTTCTGCAGAATTGGATGAAATTCTGTTGAAAACTATAACACTACACGTGTAAGCTAAGTATTAGTATCATTTAATTAAAATAATAACTCTTCCACATAACTATTAATGAGATTTAGTAATATCATTTAGAACACATCTTTCGTAATTATAATAATGTATACAAAGTAAATCCTTTTTCATCATTTTTGTAGCAGGATATTGATAATTCGAAAAATTGTCTTACAGTGAATTAAGGAAAAATTCAAATGTTAAAAAAAAAAAAAGTTTTTTACAAACCAGAGTCATCCTGAATCCGAAGCACAAAGTAGCGACTGGAGTCTACCACTGGCTCTACTGCAATACCTGGGTATTTATCAACTAGACATTTGGCAAACAGTTCACCTGAAAGAAAGGTATTTTAAAAACAAAATCAATTAGCAGCTAATGACTAGTTAACCCAGGTCTTTGGGATGATGTTTTGATTTGGTAAACGTTTGTATGTTCTTCAGGGCTATATTTAGAATATCAAAATATTGACCCAGAAGCTTTAGAAAACTTTCACCAATAGAAGTATCATGCCTTAAACAGGTATAAGTGAAAAAACTAAAATGTCAGCAATCATGTTTTCTAACAGCTAATATAAAGTAAAGTATGAAAATACACATACATTTTACAGAAAGTTCACTCACTGTTCAAAGTGTGATTAACATATTCTATAATCTTTATAAAGTGCAAAGAAATATATACCTTCATTACATCATTGGTCACTTTCATGCATGAGCAATCCATTTTAATAATAACTTATCAAGAATACGTTTTAGTCCCATAACTCTCTCAGTGCCAAGTTTATAGATAAATAACACTTCCAGTGCCAGGCAGGTATATATAGATAAACAACACTTCCAGTGCCAGGCAGGTATATAGA